CAGTGTCAAAAGGTTCGTGGTCACAAACTGCAACTGGATCAGAATAAGCCAGCAAACTGGGCCATATAGCTTACACAAGAAAAAAAAAAAAGAAAAGTGGTTCTCCCGTTTGAATCCCACTTACTGTTCTCATGTCAGAGCAGTCAGTGACCTTGGCAGACAACTGCTCCAGAATTTCTCCACTACAGCTGCCCTCTACCCATGGGGGTGTTTTCATACACCACCACCCCCAGCCTTAGTGTTCAGTGTCTGGCTTTGATAAATGTATTAATCACTGCTTCCTTGGGTTCTAAGCTAAAGTGTAAAGGGATCAGAAGGAAAGGAAAGCTCATTCCCTGAATAGTGAAGACAGAGATTTGTTTAAAATTATCTTTGAAGGACTTTTAGAGAATGTATGAGGTAGGCCGAGTGTGAGTGGGGAGAGGGAACAGACGAAGTAAATTTTGAATTTAAAATCAATGATTCCATTTTGAAAGTCAGACTGTATCAGAATAGACTTGAGTGTATTTTCTAGTCTACACTTAGGGTGTTAATTAGGGATTAAGGGGAAAAGAGTAAAGCGAAATGAGCATGATTTCAGTACATAATATATCACCAGCCAAAAAGGGTATTTAAAATATTACCATTGTGAGGTATGGTAAAAACGCTGCAAATGAGAGTGGGTTTCTATGTGAAAGTAGGTTAACTCTGGCCTTGTAGTTCTGCTTTCGTAACTTCAGCCAAGAAATTCTTTACTTCTCCCTCTTTATCCTTAGCGTGTTATGTGGGCAGAAGATAACGTGGTCCGCACCATAGCTGGCTGCACTCCACCAGTCAAGTACAGTCTGCCAGACGGGCCCGTAGTGCCGTCTAGGTTAAAGAAGTTGACTATAGCTCCATGCTGTTGGGTGGAGTGTGAAGATTGTCGTATCACATTGAAAGAAAACTTTTTTCTTCTGTGCCTTTCCATGTATATGTAAACATTCAGCCAAAAGGAGAGTACTCTTGTCAGAACCTTTTACACCAGTTCTGACCTGTACACTTCTGCACCAGCTTGCACTCAGGCATGTTGCAGTTTTCTGGTAGTTGTGGTACTACCATACTTCACTGTCTCTAACATCGGTCGGTCACTTTTTTGTTTGATTTTTTTATTTTATTTTATTCTCAAGCGTGGAGATTAACCATTCTTTAGGGAAGCCAGTGATAGCTTGGCATAATCTGCAAAGGACAAGAAAATGGAAGTTTTTTTCAGCAGTAGTTGGTTCAGGGTCTTAAAATACAGGGAAACTTTTCCATGAGTTTCAGTGTTCTGTTGTGTTGGGTTTTTTTCCCCCTGTTGATTTTGGAACAGATCCTAACCCCCAAATTGCTTTCACGTGTTGCAGGATATTCCAGGTAAATATCATGCTTTTCTCCATCCTGGCTTCTGCTGTTTATAGGTCCTAGTATATCCATTAATAAGGAGACAGTCCTACTTTCATCTTGCATAATTCTTTAGCACTTCTCAACCAGCATGTTCCTTTGCTGCTATGTTAAATTAACTGGTATAACATAGTAACGGATTTCAGAGACATGTACAACCATTATAATTGTAGCTAATTCTGTCATTAAACTGTCTGCCCAAATTGCATGCTCTGCTGCATGTCAGAAGCCAGCACCTCCTCTCCTCATTTTACACACTGTTCCTTTTGCAAAGACAAAATATTCTGAGGAATAACTTAGTTTGCAGAATTCCAGAAGAAAATGGATTGTTCAGAATGCATTGCAGCTGATGAAGATGTTTAGGTTTGCTCCTTGTCCAGCAACTGTTGTGTCTCAGGGTAGCCTGATTAGAAAAGGTCTGTAGCCTGATTAAGGACAAAAGAAGAAAAAAAAAAAGAGATGAGCAATTACATGTCCACATGTTTAAGCATGACCGAGTTCTGCATTGACTATGGTTTGTAAGACCTGGGTGAAGGAAGTTGGTTTGGAGTGTGGCACAGAATTTCACAGAGAGCATATGAAAGCAAGCTTTTTCCATGCCAGGAAAGAAAACGTGAAGGGATTTTTTCCCTAACTGAAAACCCTCATAAAACTGAAAGTCTGAACTGGTGGGACACAATTCAGTTAAGAGGGGAAAGAAGTTTTTTTGGCAGGGGACTCAGTAGTGCAAGAGAAAGTGGTGACTGGAGAATTGCAGCTTTGATGTTAGGTGGGTTTAGACCTAGAGAGAGAGTTATTCCATGAGCTTAAAACCAATTATGGCAAAGATTTCTCTGTGGAAAGGGACAATTGGAAAAACTGACTACACTGAGACCTGGCTGGCTGCCTGAAAGTGGATGGAACAGGAATGGAACAGTATCATTTATTCTGAGCATGGTTTATACAGAGGAATTCATAAAAGAAGCTGACAAAGCTACAGACAGAAAACTGGCCAGAAAGGGTATGGCTGCTGAAGAGAGGGAGTGTCTAACTGCTAACTTGGAACCACAAAACCTCAAACATACTATCTAACATTTGGATTTTGACCCACCTGATTATGTAGCAACACAAAAGCAAAACAAGCACAACACACGCTGTTCTGGAATAACGAAGCTGCAAAAATATTATGATAATTTATAGCAGCCTACACCAGGTGATGCTAGCATCTCAAAACAGCTGAAATGACTGCTTCTTAATTATAAACATATAACCTGAGTATCATGTATCATGTAACTGACTTGAAAAGAATCAGGCCTTAGACTTTGTTTGGCTTCCATTCTATGTTCTGGGTAATCAAACTGCTTGAAAACATCTCAGATGGCCAAGGTGGGTAACAGACAAGGTGTTGCTCTTCATGCAGAGCAGCCTTGTCTTACACAGGGCAAGACGCTTCCATAGGGTTTAATCTGGAGAAGATCTGAAGACAGTGTAGCTGTTTCTCAGTGTCATCTTTTCCTCTTCCGGTGATTATAGTAGTTTAAGACTTTCAATTAAACTT